CCCCTCTGCAGGCAACAGACACCTATACAGTGCTCAGACTTATATACAGGCAAAACACTCATACTCATGAAATAGTATAAAAGTAATTACAGAAAGTCCTGTCTCTCAGGCTCATTATGTAAAACAAAACTTTCCTGATGGAGGTAATTTTCACAACTGTAAGAATTTATGAACTGGAAGAGACAATCAGAAAATAATAAAGTCATACTTTATTTGCTACCTCATTTCTAGTTCAAGTTGGCAATGTGTTTGCTCCAAAAGCATGAGGATTCAAGTTCAAATCCAGAAGCTAAATATAAAACATTTGGTGTAAACACATAACTCCAGCACTGGGGAGGCAGAGATGGGCAGATCCTTGGAGTTCACCTGTCAGTTAGGCTAGCCCACTTGGTGTGTTTCAAGCCAGCAAGTGGTTTGTTGGCACTTGAGGAAGAACACAGGAGGTTATCTGACTTCTGATTCCCCAAACATGTGTGTACTGGTGTACTTACACAGATGTTAACATGCACACAGGCAGCCTAACTCCTTAGGTATTAAATATTACTCTTTTCCTTTATGCAAATAAGATTTCTTTAAAAACCAGCAACTAAACATATGGAAACAGCTGTGCTGAGAGTGCGCTTATTTACTATTAAATGATTTATGTCAATCATCTCCAATTCATTTTATTTAGTTCAGTGACTATGGCTGTTGACTTAGCGCAGCTCTGTTCTATGCACTGTGTGAATGGATTCCCAGCTCTGAAATCTGGAACATGACAGAAAAGCATAGACCCTAAAGTCATTAGTTAGGATGTGGTGTCCCCAACTATTCAGAGCTTCAATAGCTATTAATAAACTGTCAGAGTAGAACTGCTGACAAGACAGATTTGATAACACACAAGTGTAGCTCCGGGTTTTTGCTTTACTAGTCTTTTAAAGCCTTCCATAAAATGTCTTCTCCACCGACATCTAATTCTCTAGAACTGTAAGCCACAATAAATTCCTCCTTCAGTTGTTTTTGGTCATATTTTGTCATTTGTAAAAACAACTAATACAACACCTGGCCCACTTAACTAGCCTTTCCTTTAAAATGATATGTCAGATTATGTGTTAGCATACATGTACATGACGCACAAATAATCCCCGTATCCATCTCTTTACTGTAATCATTCCAAATGTCTACTGAAATCAGTGGCCACCAATTTCACATAGAAGAACTTATGATTATTTTTGGATATCCACAACTAACAAATCCATAGACTAGTTTATTCAGGCCCTCTTCTAGTATCAGCTACCTAATAGTTTATAGTCACTGTTAAAACTTCTTTCTACAGTTCCATCCTAGTATGGTTTAGCTTTAAAAACAAAACCTTTTCCGTGCCTCGTCAATAAAACATAAGCAGACATGTAAAAAAGTAGTTGTACGTGCCAAATGCTTAGTTGTGGCCAACATTCTACGACTCTTTTACAAAGTGATCCCTATAAATACAGTCTGTGTACTTAAGCGACAGTCCACAAATGACTGACTTACTCAGAGCATCTGGCTCTTTACAGTATCTTCTACTCCTGCTAAGCATAAATATTTGTTAAATATAACAGAATAGAAAGAATCAAGACTGGGAAGAGTCAGATCTAATTTCTTGTGTAAATTCTGGCTTAGCCAAATTATGTAAAATAACCCTTGACTTACCACATATTAGAAAATCAGACATGCATCTAGTTCTCAGTTTTGCTGTGATAATTTTATTTATTAGCTCAACAAATACTCAGAGAACTTTTAGGTGAGATACTTTATATCTGTCTGAAATGGGTACACAATTCAATCAGAATTAGGTGTCACGAAGGACAATAGAAATACAATGTCCCAAGTTCCTTGGGGATAGCTTCTCTTAGGAAGGGATATTTGTGGTGGAACTTGAATGGTAAGAAGGAACCAGTTATGTGACATGTTGGAGGAAGAACACAAAGGCAGAAGGACAAGTGTAAAGACAATTATTCACTAGTGCTATTTTGAGCCGATGAGAATGAATTTATTCAGCATGCAGCTTCAATCCTGCCTCCACTTATTAGGGCTGATGTGGCCATGGCTTATGTGCTTGATCTAGTCCAGATCTACAAGTTTAACACTGCGATTCTGAGAAAGTAACTAATCTGAGGATTCTTCCATTGAGTCTCAGCTGTACTGTACAGAGAAGAAAATGTTAAATGTGCAGGACCAACTTCTGAGTCTTCATTCCTAGAATTAGGTTCCACTATGAACTACTACAGTGACACTGCAAATCTATCACAAAGAACGAGGACTCGTGAGAAAGTTCAGAGTCCCAGCTCGACCACTGACTGAGACAAGAGGCTTTTAGCAAACCAAACTCCACAACCAGTTGTCAGTATCTGTAAAATGGGGATATCATTTGTCTGTCTACCCAACTACATTTCCTGGGAGATTATGACTACTGTCTAAGAATGTCTAAACTTATTGTGGAGAACAAGATAGCACATGTTGGAAACAAGATATTTTATTTTTACAACTGGAGTAGATCTCTAATGATTTTGTCTAATCTATCAATTTAAGAGAGAAATCACAGATCTCCAAAGTGAATGACCTTCCTAAGTATATTCTGATATAACCAATACAGTGTCTAGTTTTCTAAATGCGAGTACATTTTCCACCAACCATCCCATCCACAAGGCATCTAGTCTACGTTCTGACTCTTTTCACTCAAGTACAAGAAGGCTAAAAACTGAATGACTTAAAAAAATTAAGTGCCCATGTAGATTTCTTAGGCAGGAACTGATATAATTTGACAGGAACGTGAAGAGCCACAGTACTAATACTGCAATGACGAAAGCATCTGCTGTCTTAGAAATGTGGATCTACTAAATGATCCTACATCTGTCTGTAGCTAGATGTTCCCCCCACAGCTTTAATTATCTTTGTGTATTGCTGATTCCACTGTATTACTGTTTGAGAAATAAATAATGTGGTTCTCTTAACTTACTGTTTTACTTTTTGTAGTTTGAGGATTGAAACCAGAGCCTCAAGCATGGAGGGCGAGAACTCCAATACTGAGTTTTACACCAAGGCATTATTTTCTTAATTTAAAAGGTGATATACTTGTCCATATAAAACACTGAAGGCATGTAAAATAGTTTTCATGTTGGGTCATCCTTCTGTTTTCCTATTTATGATTTAAACTAGAGATGGAATGTAAGTTGAAATAGCTCTTGACTGTCCATGATGGACCGCTGACTGTACAATCTGTTTAATATGATCACATGAAGACTATAATGGAAATTATGTAATGGTTTTGACATCAGAAAGGCCTGAATTAAATCGAGACTATAAAAATAAACTATGTTCTAAGACAAAACAAATTTAAAAAATGCACCAGCTTTGCACTGAGAGCATCAAATTGATTATTGTCTCCCTTAACAACTTGCAGGCCCCAATGAGGCAAGAATGTGAAAGCTTTAAAAAGTAGTGTGCAAAAAACTAAGGTTGCAAAAATCAAACAAAGTAAGTTTGTGGAAACATGTGGTAGACCATGAAGTACAAGTTATTATTATATAACAACTTGTAGTCTACAAGGACAGCAATTCACAAGAGTACACGTAAATGCTTATTTAAAAACTGCGATTCTTGTAGACTGACTCACTCAAGTTTTAGTCTTAAAAAAGAATGTTATCCGTGAAAGCTGGATCAACTACCCAATTCTGAAAAAAGGAATTTATCTTAGCTTCAATGGGGGTTGGGGGGTATATAAAATGTTTTCCTTCTTTTAGCATATGACCTTAAAGCAGGTCACTCTTCCTGTCTGGAACTTTGCTACCTAACAACATGTCAAGCACTATGTTGGATTTTCTGCACATACTCCTTAACTGGATTTGTCACACTGATAAAGTAGCAATTACTCTCACCTCACAGTTAAGGAAATGAACACACAGAAAGTAGTAGGAAACCAAGTCACACAGTGCCCTGTCTATCTCACTCTGAACCTTTCTCTGTCTCAGACCTCACTGTTCCTACAGACTTCTCAATGAACACACTGATCTCTGGTTAGTTTTTGTGATAAAAAGATATGACTTAGTAGTCCTCTAAGGTAAAGATGTATTTATTGAATGTTAATTAGCTTGCAACTTTTAACACCTTACTATACTTTAAAAATGAAGAAAAAAGACAACTCAGTCTAGATTTCAAAAAACTCCACATTATGGTACAGAAAAAGCAAAGTACTTTTTAAAAAAGATTAAATTCATAGTAACTGCATGAAAGCATTTCTAGCCAAAGCTTTAGCTACTGTTATACTATTTAAGTATAGTATCCAAGTATTTATACTGTTATGCTATACAGTTTTTTCTTTTGTAAATATTAAGACTCTTAGAAGTCACTGACCCCACTGCGAATCTGAAAGACACTTTTCCAACTGAAGATTTAATTTATTCACTTTTTCTAATAGCGATTTCTGATGTAGTGTTATATTCTGACTGTCACCATCATCACTACTTGCCTCTTCAGAATATGCTTCCTGAAACATGTTTTCATAACAGACTTATGTTACTAAAGAGTGAAATTCATCTACATGAGCTCAATATAAGGCAGAACTATCCTAAGGTATCAGAGAAAGAAGAATCCGGGACCAGGGAAAGCACCGTGAGACATTTGACGTTCTCTTTACCAGCCTGTCCTGAGCATCCTTTCGTGTCACATAGAAGTCAGTCATTCTGTCTGTTCTCTCTCTCTCTCTCTCTCTCTCTCTCTCTCTCTCTCTCTCTCTCTCTCTCTCTCACACACACACACACACACACACACACACACACACAATCTTGGCCTCTAACACCAGCAAGCTGAGATCCCGCAGCCACCAAACTTTGCTCAATCTATTTACGGATAATCGAACTGCTGACCACATATGAATCAGGTAGAGAATCACAGATTCAACCACAACCATGACGCCCATCAGCAAGCCGCCTCCCGCTCGGGATCCGAGGCAGCGCGGAGCAGCAGGGCTCGGCCTCGCTCACCTCTTCCACTTCGATCTCCTTGTAGTCGATCTCTTCGAAGTTAAGGACCTGCGATGGCGCTTCGATCATCTCACTGGCAGAAGACGAGGAGGAGGACGAGGCGGCGGATGCTGTCGACATGATCCCCCGCGGCGCCCGGGGGGCCGCGCCCGCCCTCCGGCCCGCGCACCGCCCTTCAGCCCGGAGCCCCGCAGCCCCGTCGCCCGGCGCTCCGTGGCGCGGGACCGACCCGGGCCACGGCCGAGTCCCGGCTTCGGCTCCTCAGCGCTTTCCGTCGCCGGGCCCCGCCCACCACACTTCCAGTTCCGGTTTGAGCTTGGAACTGGGAGAGAGGAGGCGCTCTTGAAGAACCTGAGTAGAGGATTTTGTGACTTGGAAAGAGAGCGAGAAGGCAGGTTAGGGGTGGAGTGGAAGAGGGTGAGAGTGGAGCCGTGGGCCTGAGGAACAGGCTTCGCGAGACTTTTGTGAAAGGGCCTCAGCTACAGGATGATACCGCGATACCTGGCGCCGTGACGTAATGAAAATGCGCGATCGGAACTGGCGCGGAACGAGACCGAAGGCGGTTCGGTTGGTCCCGCAAGATCCAGCGGGAAAGATAAAATCTGTAGCTTCTTGCCTGTTTCTTTCGAGCCGTGTCATGCCCCCCCCCCCCCACCCCCACCCCGGTCTGTTCTAGGCGGTCTGCACACAGGCAGGGTAGAGTTTGGGTTGTGCTCTTGGGGCGCATCTTCATGTTCAGTTTCACCCGTGAGCTGTTGAGGTTTTAAGCTTTGCAAAAATGTTTCTGCGCATTGTGTCTGTTACTTATAAGCGATTTCCTCAGCTTGTGAGGGATTCGGGGGAAGTAGTTAGTGCGCACCACCGGAGTAACACCATAAAGCGTGAGTGCTCACTGAAAGAAGTTAGCATCTTGGTGAAGCTCCGATAGCGTTTTACACAGTTCATAAGGCAATTCAAATTGCCTCGTCTTGTCAGGTTCCCGAGGCTGTCTTCCACAACAGCCCGAAGAGTTTGTTTTGAGAGTTTTGAGTTTGTTTTACCCTCAGACAAAACTGGATGGATCCTTGGACACACCAAGGAAACGAATTATAAGGGGAGTCAGCAGGGAGCAAAGCTGGAAGATGAGCCACACTTCATTGTCCTTATAATGTTTATGTACAGGATTCTGGTGACCTTTGAAGGCATTGTCTATGAAGGACAGATAGGTCTTTGAAGGGTTGCTGAGGAGTTCAGAGATCTCAGGTGGTTCCCGAAGACTACCCAACAAGATTACAATTGCTATGCTAAAACCCCACATTCCAGGGTTACTTGTGTTAAGATAATTGAAAACAAAGTTAATAATCTAATATCTAGGAAAGGTCGAAGGGCATAGAACCTTGAACCTTAAGCAAAGATTCACTGCTAGTTTAACCTAAGATATCTTCATGCGAAGGAATGTTGTCTTTGTGTTGGCAATCTTCATAGCAAGTGTAAGTTGTACTGGGATTATTTATTCATTTATTTTAATTTAGTGAGGAGTTTTCAACTTCTGAGTAAGGGGCTCCTTTCCCTTTTTATGTTTCCATAACCTTTCCTTTCCTGCCTTTAATGCTAGTGCTATATGTTTATAAAGGACTCACCAATAGCTTGGCGATTCAAGTTTGAGTATCACAAGTTAGGTCAGAGAACCCCAAGATGGGAGAGTATTATCCATATTGTATGACCAACACAATTTTTAATTTAATTTAAAATTTAATTTAAGCAGGATATTGAGTTTTAGTTGATTTGACTCGAAACCAATGGAACCATTGGAGTTAAATTTAGTGACCAAGGATGAGCTCTTGAGACTGTTAAGTCCTAAGCTTACTAATGGAGACTGAAAGTAAGGGAGAGAGTAAGGGATCCCACTGTTACTACACGGGAGCTTTCTAATAGAAGAACAACCTAAGATAATGCAAGTAAAAGTAAATTAGACACGCTTGAGGTTGCAGGAAGATCAGTTAAGCAATTTTACCCAGGGTCTTGGCCTTCAGTATCACTGTTACAACAATGATTTCTGATGTATTCTGCATACTAGATTTTACCGAGTTTTTGGACCTGTTGGGCATCTGTATCTACCAAAAGATAATATAAATGCCTAAGCTGGAATATCAGAGTGGTAATTCACAATGAGGCCGATGAACACCTGGGATGAAACTTTCTGGGTTGGCTGGGTGGATATGGGTTGGAATTCGGGATTAAGATATTTGAATCTGCTATTTCACATGTGATGAAGTTTCTGGTGAGACTCTGATCTTGTTTATGATTTTAGGACTTTGGAACTGAGAATCTGGGAATTGACAAGGCATGTTGATAGGTTGTTATTCATTTATCTGCTGTTTCTTTTTATCTAGTTATAAATATTATTGAGATGAACATCATTTACTTAAATCTAGAGTTAGGATATTGTTAGGCAAAGCTATTCTGGTTTTCTAGTAACTTTACTTTCTCTGGCACACTTTTGGTTTGCTTATGTTTTGAAAAAATGTGCTAATTGCTGTTAGGATGTATGTCTTTTCTCTTAAAAGCACAGGTTTTAGAATTCTGTTATAATTATTTATTCCAATTCTGCCACAATCTCTGGAATAAATTAAACTCTCAACTCCCTAAATACTAACCTCAATGGATTATGAGAAAATTTTAGATGAGTGACTGATACATAAAATTAATTAACCCTGAAATAATTATTAGTTTACTATTTTTCTTCCTTGAGTGTGATGATAGAGGAAACAGTTATTCACTGTGGGGCTGGGGTGGAGAGAGGCTGTAGGGAGCAGTCTGGAACAAGAGTTGGAGTCAAGGTGTGTCCAGACTCCAGAAATCTCTGCCTGAGATTGGCCCCAGGCCTCCATACCTCTGTGCACGTAGCCCTGTGCCCCCACCTTTACCCCACCAGAGAAGATCATGGAACCCAGTAGCCAGGCTAAATTTCCTCTTCCCTTATAAGGTCATGTCCAGCAGCACCTGGAATTCCTCCTTATGCAAATGAGGCATCTCCTTCACCCTGGCCCTGGCCAAGAATGTCCACTCACCCCAAAGATTTAAATAGCTTTTGTTCCTCCCATTTAAAGATGTTTCTCCCTGAAGCCAGTCTACAGAGAGTCTATTCTCTTCACACTGGTTGTGACCACAGGGGGCAGGTCCTTAAGAATAGGGAAATGGTGGATATTGAAGGAACACACAACACACCACAGACACTAGGTCCTAGTGACTAGGAAAATCTGTTGTCACAGAATAGCTTACCTGCTGACTGGCTTACACTTGAAAGTTGGCTTAGGTTGATAAGTGGTTGAAGAATTTGTACAAATGTGCTCGGATGAACAGTTTGGGGTGCTCACATATGGGGCTGTATAAAGTCCCTTGAGGTGTAGTTTGAACCCAGAGGAAGAGGACAAGGGTTAGAGGCTAGCCTTGCTCAGACCACCATATTCTGGTGAAGACAATGTTATTAAGGTAGGATGGAATACATGTAATATATATATTTAAACACTTATCTTGATTTGGAGTGTATGTTTAGACATTCAGCATTGTTGGCCTCTGCTCTGGGTCCCTCAAATGTTAGGTCTGGTTTTTGGTGTGCGTGCGAGAGAGAGAGAGAGAGAGAGAGAGAGAGAGAGAGAGAGAGAGAGAGAGAGAGGTTTCTGTTCCTGTGTGCTGGCAGGTTATAGGTCAGGTATTCATAACTTGGATTTCATGTTTTCTGAATTCCCCAGGAATGTCTGTCTTATGGCTTGGAGCTCAGCCCAACCACTCCTTCAGAGATAATGATGCTGTATTTCCTTACTTCCCTACCTTTCTATCCATTACTGTTTACTTCTACATGTTTAGCTATCTGCCATCTTCAATTATTTTGTTCCTGGTTTATTTTCTGTCCCTGTCTTCTCAACCTCACTGCCCTAGTTAGCATTAACTGTCAACTGGACAGTCTATAATCACCTGGAAAACTGTCTCCATTGAGTAACTGCCTTCTTCAGATAGTCTTGATTGATGTAGGAGAGCCCAGCCTGTTCTGGGTAGTGCCACTGCCTAGGCAGGAGGTCCTGAGCTGCATAAGAAATCTAGCTAAGTATGAGCCAGATACTCAAGCTAGCCAGAAGCAGTATTTCTCTGTTTCTTATCTGGATTCCTGTCTTGACTTCCCTCAATGATGCATTGTGACCTGGAAGCATAGGGTAAATAAAAGCTCTTTCCTCCCCTGAATTGCTTTTGATCCAAGTGTCTTATCACAGCAACAAAGGGAAAGAGTAGAACACCGGCTGATCAGGATTTAGAGTAGTACCTGACTGCAGTAAACACTTTATAGAAAGTGAATGAGTATAACACCTAATAAATACTGTGTTAATTTATTTCACATATAAAAGTTGATCGATTATTTTCTAAAATATCATTGGATGAAGACTTAATAAGTAGATAAAATTGATGCGTAGTTAGCATACCAGTAGTTTATAATGAAGGTTTGCTTTTAATGTATTTGAGAGTTTTAAAAGTGCTTTCTCTCCTAGCATCCAGTAGCCAGTTTAGGGGACTCTCTTCCTAGAGTTTCCAAAGTTAAACTAGATCTTCTTTCCAAATACTAATATTATTTAGCCTGATTTGATAATTTGCTTGCTAAAATTTACTATTATTGTGACATTCATAATTGTTTTCAGAAGTAACTGGTATTTTAACTAACACTTTAAGTTTCTGAGCTTCCCAGGCAAGCTGAAGCAGCATCCTGTAGCTGAACATCCTTTTTTTTTCTTTCTTTTCCTTCCTTCCTTCCTTTCTTTCTGTCTGTCTGTCTGTCTGTCTTTCTCTCTCTCTCTCTCTTTCTTTCTTTCTTTCTTTCTTTCTTTCTTTCTTTCTTTCTTTCTTTTTTTAACTAGAAAGCTACACAGATAAGAACTTGGTTTAAAAAAGAAAATAATCTTCATGGAAACAGTATTCTTTGCTAAAAACACATTCCTTAAATGTCTTATTTCACAGGCTAATTTCTCGAAAGAAATTCTGGAAGCAAGTTGGCTGTTTTCAAGGATAAATAACGGTGTTTCATCTCCCACAGCCTCAGGGAATCACAAATTAAAACTCTCCACTTTAACCAAGCCATCTACTATTCATTATTTCAAC